GCTTTTCAGACCGATGAGTTTTGTAAAAATCGACGCGTTTCAGAAAGGCGGGGCATAGAGGAGAAACAATAATGTACATTATGTGGAAAAGAATGTTTTTTTTTTTACCTTAAACCGCATAAACACATTGCATTACACCAAATACACAAAATAATGTTCTTTTTAGCAACATCATATGACCCCTTTAAGAGAGTGCAGAGGGGTGAAGCAAGAATTTTAAGCTCATTTTACAAATGAAGGCTACATTTATGAATAAAGAATTTAGCAAATCCACCCACATGAAAAAATACTATAATAATTTATAGCAAATACTATAGTGTTTTGAACCATACTATAGTAAAGTGTATTATACTGTATATATTATAGTATTTACAACACTTTGTTAATGAATGCTACAGCATACTGTAGTATTAACTATAGTGAACTGATAAACTGTAATAAATACTGTAGTATACTTTAGTTTTTTAGTAAACTGTAGTATAATATAAGCTATCCTATAGTTGAAGAAAACTTACAGTATTGGGGAAAGTAATTTGTTTATATTACTATAGTTGTTATATTACCACAGCAACTATAGAATTACCACAACAAATTAATTTAAATACTTTACTATAGTATGGTTCAAAAACACTATAGTATTTACTATAAATTACTATAGTTTTTTTTTTTTTTCAATTTGAGCTAAGGAATTCTTTCAATGGATGCCATTAATAATTTTAAAATTAAGCTCTTCTACTTAAGGAAAAACTGGAAAAGTTAGGTAACTTATCCTTTTTCAGCCCCTCCGGATCAAAATCTTTAAAAAAATGTAGCAATGACTGAGGTTCGGATGACGTCACTTAGCGTTTGAGGACTTTTATTTTAGTCTGGGAGTGTGACGTCACAAGGCTGCGCCGCACTGCTGCGTCTGATTCTGCTGAAGAAAGGTTTGTGTTTTAAGCGTTTAAAGTGTTTAAATGAAGAAAATGTTTAGACAAATGCATAGCCTCTACAAGAATTGTACAACTAATGATTTATGGTTGAATATAGCGTTGTAATGTTTTATCGAATATTAGCTAACGTTATGTCTTGAGTGAAGTACATCCGCATTTGAGTAACAGAAACTGCGCTTCTCGCTTCGTTTTCTTCATAAATCTTAAACTGGCAAGTAGTGGTGAGAGAAACTGAGTTTTTCGAAAAACTTCGAGTCAATGGAATCAATTATTTCGCAGAATGAGTCACTGTTTGGAAGCGCTCCAATCATTGCACGGCGACGACACCTACTTGTGAAACAGTGTAAATGCAACGAGAACACAAACACGAATGATCATTTACAAACCAACAGAACATGTTTTGATGAAAGTAGAATCTATTAATTGTAGTCTGCAAATATAATATTATTTGGTATAATGTGTGTGTGTGTTAAAGGTCTATATTAAGTGTCTGTATGATTGTATGTCTGTGTCCAAATGTGCAGAAAAACTCTTGGTGAAGCAACTGATATCCACATGACAATAGTATAAAGATGGCGTTTATTAAAGAGGAGAGTGAAGACGTGAAGATTGAAGAAGCATTCAGAGTCAAACATGAAGATACTGAGGAACAAACAGGTTGGTTTTCATTCTCAAAGCTGAACTCAAGTCATTTGATCCTTATTTTAATGTTGGCTTCTACATGAATGAATGTTGTTGCATTGGTAAGAACCTACCGACTGTGCCCACACAGGGTATAACACTTGTTATACCCTGTATATAACACCTGTTATACTTGTGGTGTTTCCCATCCAAAATAACTGGCCTACAAAAAAATGCTTATAAATTTCCTGTTATGTTATATTGCTACCAAATATTGGTTCTTTTAACTTGTTTTGTTTCAAATGGCACAACTGTATATCCTTTTGGAACTGATTGATTGTAATCCTCATTGATCTGAGCTTATGCATGCACCTCAGTTATTTGAGTGAATATTGCCAAAAGAATCTACAATTAGAGCTGCACGATTAATCGTTAAAAGATCGCGATCTCGATTCAGACAACCACACGATCTCATTTCTAAAAGACAACGATTCTCCCGTGTCTACTAAACCTTTGACAAAGTCTGGGAGATTCGTGATCTCTATTTGAGACAAAAAAAATTGTGATTCTCAATTTATCCAGAATCGTGCAGCTCTAGTCCTGTGTTTTTGTTTTTTTTGTACTTGAGTGCAATATATTTTGGGTGAAAAAATGAGAATCGTGTAAGAGAATCGTGATCTCAATTCCCATGGAGAAAAATCGTGATTCACATTTTAGCAAGAATCGTGCAGCCCTATCTACAATACAAATAATAATTTTTTCTTAACTCAAAAACGGAGATGTATATGCTCAGGTAAGTGAGGCTTATGACTAATCAGTGCCAAAAAAATAAAAAATAAAATATATATATATATATAAACTGCTCTAATTAACAGTAAACCGGTTGACAAAAAGATTGAATCCAATATGTGCTGATAATATAGCATAATGAGAGATTTACAAGCAGTTTTCAAAACGCTAGTGATTTTAGATTAATTGATTATAGTGATTTTGGTTAG